GCACTCTGTCTAGACTTTCTCCACTGGTTTCTTTTTCTAGTAAACTCTCAGTTCTAAAAATAAGTCTACAGGATGACTAAAGTCACACAGCTTTATGTACCCAACAGTAGCACCATTGAAATTTGAGGGTAAATTAAGATCATAATTATAACAGTTTTTAGCTCATTTCCCTTGAATAACAAGTAGCAAACCAAAAGCAAGATAATGATTTCAAAAAGCTTGGTTTTCAGGGAGCTGAGGCTGTAGCTCAGTGGCAGAGCTCTTGCCTAGCACATGAGAAGCACTGGTTTGATCTTCAGCAGCACCACATAAAAATAAATAAAATAAAAAATATTCTGTCCATCTACAACAACAACAAAATTTTCTTAAACCCTTTTTTTAAATATTTATTTTTTAGGTGTAGGTGGACACAACACAGTGCCTTTTTTTTCATGTGGTGCTGAGGATCCAACCCGGGTCCCGCCTGTGCTAGGCAAGCGCTCTACAGCTGAGCCACAATCCCAGCCCCAACAACAAAAATTTTTTAAAAACTTTCAGTACATTGGTGTGTGTTCAGCTCTTCAGGCACACACAAAGCTTCTCCCCAGACACAAAAGGCATTCGCAGACTCGTACGAGGACCTGGACGCTGGCGTGGAGCCAGGTGGCCCTCAGAGGCTGCTCTGCTGTTTGCTGCCACTTGAACTCACATGGACCTTTTTGGATGTAGGAGCTTCTACCTGGCCCTCTACAAGCAGATGAGCTTCCTGGAGAAGCGTGGCTGCCCGCGCACCGCACTGGAGTTCTGCAAGCTCATCCTGAGGTGAGTGTCCACCAGGGATCCACTCCTGCCAGTCCTCACGGCAGGGCTTCTGGGCTGCAGAGACCCTGGGCCCTGACATTTTCCTTGCTCTCTTTGCTCTTCCCTCACTGTGCTGCCTGCGAAGCCTTGAGCCAGACGAGGACCCGCTGTGCATGCTGCTGCTTGTCGACCACCTGGCCTTGCGGGCCCGGAACTATGAGTACTTGATCCGCCTCTTCCAGGAGTGGGAGGTAGGTGTGCGCTTGCAGTGTGACTAGTAGCCATGGTGAGGCCTTGAAGCAGAGCCAGGGTGGGTTCCAGGGACCTCCTGCCCTTTAGTCTCCCTCGTCTCTGCTGCTGAGCAGAATCAGGTCTTCCCAGAGGGAAGCAGCCTGGCATCAGAACCCCAAGATGAGCACACAACTGCATCGAGTGTGCGTGTAGAGATGGTGCTGAGTAATGGACAGTCAGGCAGACCACAGAGCTGGGCGTGCTAGGCACAGAAAGGGACAGCCACTCAGGGAGGGAGGTTGTGATGCAGGGCTCACAGGGACCTTAGGTCCTGAGCGTGGGGACGACAGTCTGGGTAGTCATGATTGGTTACGTGTTCCAGGTCAGAGTCGCACATAAATGCCGCCTGCCATCCTGGGGCCCCAGACCCAGGAGAGTGGGGTTTGTCTTGGGCTCCACTGAGTGCTAGAGAGCATGCACTATCTTGCTACAGGTGGGGTTTGCACGGAAGTCGAAGCAGCAGTGTAGGTGTGTTGGGTCAGGCTCCACGTGTGAAGATCAGTCTCACCTCTCGCTTTAGTGTAGCTGCTGCAAACTGAGTGTGACAAACAGCTGAACAGAGCTTGTCCAGAGGGGGCTCAGGCCTAGGAGGGGAGGAGGGGGAGGAGCCTGTACTTGTTCTACTTTTCTGCTTGAACCTTTCACAGTACATATTTTTCGTGAATAAAGAAAAAAACATTTTTCATAAAAAATAAGTGATGAAAAACAGGTAAATCATTTAAAATCACATAACCCTTTATACAGTTGGCCAAGAAGTCTCACTTCCAGGGATCTAGTTTACAGAGATTCCAGGAGCTCAGGAGAATGGCTGTAAGAAACCCACGGGGTCCCCAGAACCAGCCATAGAGGAATGTTTGTGGTGGTTTATAAGATTACAGAACTCTGTGGAGACGAGCGTTCCCTGTTAATGGAAAAGCATGGAGTAGATCATGTCTGTTACATCGCACACAGAGAAAGGCGGGGAAATGTTTGAAGAGGGTGGTGGCCCCTCTAGGTGGGGGCAGTCATAGCTTGGCTGCCTTCACTCTGGACCCTGCTGTGTGGGGAGAGGGAGTCGCTCCTGTCCCCCACAGTGCTGAGCCTGAGGGGCTCAACAGAGCTCTTCTCCCACTGACGTTGCCCTTCTGCACACTGAAGACCCCCAGGTGGAGCAAGTCCTCCATCCAGGTGTGGGGGTGGCCCGCTTTGTCAGCTCACTGTGGTGCTCCTGGTCCTCACAGAGGGCAGGCCCCTCACCTGGCCTCTTGCTCCCTTGTAGGCTCATCGGAACCTGTCGCAGCTCCCAAATTTTGCCTTCTCGGTTCCATTGGCATACTTCCTGTTGAGTCAGCAGACAGACCTCCCCCAGCATGAGCTCAGCTCTGCCAGAGAGAAGGCCTCCCTCCTGATCCAGCAGGCACTCACCATGTTCCCTGGAGGTAGGTACCATGCTGGCCTGTGCAGTGGTTCTTCCTGAGGGTGGAGACCTGGTCCCAGCCCTGCCTGGTGCTTAAAGAAAGATGTGTTCTCCAGCCAGCCTAAAAACTGCTGATGTTGCAGTTAGCTGATTGTCCACCTCAGCGGGCCAACCGCATGCCAGCCAGGTGGGAGGGGGCTTTGGGTGAGGGACAAACTGTGTGTCCACTAACTTTGCTGTTAGTTACAGGGCAGGAGAGAGATACAGGGTATGCACATTGGTGCTTGGTGTTAGGGAGAGAAACAGCAGCAGAGGGTTGAGCAGGACCTGGACCTGATCCAGAGGCAGTGTGTGGTACGGCCCTGCATTTCCAGGGTGCCCCCCCCACACTAGGCCTCTATCTGCACCCAGGGCAGGCCCAGGGGGCTGCTGCCTACTCAGGTGGCGGGTGGCGAACCTTCTCCACAAGCACGCAGGAAGTGACCCTCTAGAGGAAGCCGTCCTTGCGCTTGAGGGTAGGAGTGTTTGTGACAGAGGTGTGCACACACTCGGTGACGGCCCCTCTGAGGGGAAGTCCCAGAGTCAGCACTGCTTTGTTGGCTCTGACGAAGCCCTGGAGAGGCCCCAGCACTGGGTGTGCGTCCAGCCAGCACAGGCAGACCCACCTGCGGTGTCCAGAGCTCCCTGTCAGGAGCAGAGCCAGCTCACCAACTCAGGGCTCAGCCCATCATCCCAGCAGCCACCTCTGTCCCCCTCGGGTTCGATGCAACTGGGAGCCCTCGGTAGGCCAGCCAAGGTGGGGGACACAG